CAGCCTCTCCCCTTAACTCCTAACAGTCATCATCATGTCAACCACAACACAGAGAAATACTGATAGCAATGTGTGTGTAGTTGTTGATACATTGCTGACAGAGGGAACTAGAATACAGATTTAAGAAATATCAGTTTTTGAGCATGTCATAAGCATGTTTTGTCTTGACTATATTACAACTATATTATAATAAAATAATATAGTATTTATATTATTCAATTGATTATGATTATTAGTAGAAGTAGTTTATTTGCATTCATTATATTTTAATCTTTTTGAGGCTAGTATTTGGCAGGAAATGCAGACGTACATGCACATTTACCATTTACCTCACTGTATACAAAGTAACTGTTGATACTAATAATAAACAGGAATTATATTTGCAAAGTACTTTGTTTCCAAAAAAAAATGGGTTTCACTCCTGTCGGTTGGGGGGGGGGGGCCTCAATCTCACAATGTCGCTTGGGGCCCCAAGTTGGCCACATGCACACAGAAGGATTCACACTTGTGTTTTTCAAAACACACACAAATGTGTTCCGTTTCATATTCATGTAAATAAAATCCAAATACAGAAAAAAGTTGTCCAGATGTATTTTTGATCCTCACATATTAGTTTTTCCGTTTAAAAACCTCTGCACCTGCAAACACAACCCGCTCTCTGTGCACGGATCGCTGTGCATTGTGTGGGTTTTTTGAGACTCCCCTGATGGTCACCCGATTCCTACTTGTAATTTTTTCTATCTATAGCCAATCAGATGTCTCCTTCATTCTAAGCCAATCACATGAGCGCGCCCCCACGAGGGTATGATTTCTTGCGTTCATGACACTTCGGTCATTATCGGCCGATATTCACTCTTAATAGTTTGATCGGTGCTCTCTATAAAGGCCGATCAGGAGAGCTGGATCTGATCGATATGGACATAAACGCGAGTGAAGTGTAACCGGACGCGAGAGAGAGATCAGATCAGCTGCTGAGTCTGACGGAGACACGCAGCTCTGCATGATCAACTGAAGCTCCGCCCTCTGTTTAGCGAGCTGACCGGACTGCGCAAAATGCGCATATGAAGTGTCATGAACGCAAGAAATCATACCCTCGTGGGGGCGCGCTCATGTGATTGGCTTAGAATGAAGGAGACATCTGATTGGCTATAGATAGAAACAATTACAAGTAGGAATCGGCTGACCGTCAGGGGAGTCTCAAAAAACCCACACAATGCACAGCGATCCGTGCACAGAGAGCAGGTTGTGTTTGCAGGTGCAGAGGTTTCAAACGGAAAACTAATATGTGAGGATCAAAAATACATCTGGACAACTTTTTCTGTGTTTGGATTTTATTTACATGAATATGAAACTGAACACATTTTAGTGTGCTTTGAAAAACACACGTGTGGATCCTTCTGTGTGCACGTGTGTGTTATGAGACTGCTCTGAGCCCATATTACAAAGGACACTGCATCTGATCAGCTGACCGTCAGCTGGGGGGGGTCATGTGACCTGAACATTCTGTTGTGATCAGAATTAGATCAGAATCCCTTCATTCGTGCCACAGAGGGGAGCTGAGCCACAGACCAGCTTCATGCTACCCTAAGAAGCATGCTTACAAGAAAACATTAAAGGGTCAAAAAACTAAATGAAATGACACAATTTACAAAATACACCTCCTGTAACAGCAGCCATTGAGTGTGTGTGTGTGTGTGTGTGTGTGTGTGTGTGTGTGTGTGTGTGTGTGTGTGTGTGTGTGTGTGTGTGTGTGTGTGTGTGTGTGTGTGTGTGTGTGTGTGTGTGTGTGTGTGTGTGTGTGTGTGTGTGTGTGTGTGTGGTGTGTGTTGTGTGTGTGTGTGTGTGATGTGTGTGTGTGTGTGTGTGTGATGTGTGTGTGTGTGTAGTGTGTGTGTGTGTGTGTGTGTGGTGTGTGTGTTGTGTGTTTAGTGCTGGGGGGACACGCTTATTTTGAAACCGATTAATCGGGCGATTATTTGATCGATTAGTCGACTAATCGAACGATTATTTTTCTGTTGTTCAATTCATAAAAAACGTAATGTAAAAAAAAAAATGTTCACGATACTGTGTCTCAGGGGATCTTAATATTTAAGAACCTATTAATGTGTTTATACCAGGATTAACGGAAATAATCTCAGCTAACTGACGATACAAACCATGTTTACCAAAACAAAACACAAGTCTCATAAGAAGCATCTAAATGACCCCTGAGCGAAAAATGCTAACGGAATTGGCACAGAACTCAAGATAAAAGTACCCTTATTACTTATCGTAGCTGCACATACAATATATCCGATTAAAGCTGAGACTCCACAGATTATGTAGGTACATAGTATCATCACTGAGTGATCCGGACTCGCGACAGGGGAAGCAAATACAGTCCTCACAACACGTACCTTCACAGAGCTTCTAGGGAGATCGTCTCACCGCCGTAGCTGTCAATCTGATCAAAATATGTGTTCAATGGCATTAAAATGAGAAAAAACGCGGCTGAATCGGTTAATCCATAGGTTTTTAACGTCTATGTATAAACAAATTATTGAATTTATAATCCATAATTCCATTTTTATGTAAAAATCGGAGAGCAAAATGCTAGCTGCTAATGGTAGCCACCACAGCTAGCTGCTGCTTCCGGTCAAGCAGCAGTCTCAGTGAGATATAAATATATAAATATCTTTGCGTTTTGGACTAACTTTAAAATATTCCCATGCTTTTGAAGACCTAGGGCGAGATGTTTTCGTTTGAGGGCTTCGTGCGCAATCCTGTGAGGAGGAGGTGATAGCCGTTTCAGTCTCCATTGTGTTAGAAGTGCGATTGCGAACTGCTTGCTGCTTTGGGTGACCCACGTGTGTGTGGCGACCATATATACAGTCTATGGTGGCGACGCGTCGACGCGGAAATATGTCGTCGACGATATTTTGAAGTCGACATCGTCGACGCGTCGCTACAGCACTAGTGTGTGTGTGTGTGTGTGTGTGTGTGTGTGTGTGTGTGTGTGTGTGTTGTGTGTGTGTGTGTGTGTGTGTTGTGTGTGTGTGGTGGTGGTGTGTGGGTGTGTGTGTGTGTTGTGTGTGTGTGTGTGTGTGGTGTGTGTGTGGGTGTGTGGTGTGTTGTGTGTGTGTGTGTGTGTGTTGTGTGTGTGTGTGTGTGTGTGTGTGTGTGTGTGTGTGTGTGTGTTACCCACTAAGTACAACCTGTCCACCTGGTACCCTCACATTCACACCCCATTCTGTTTAACAATCAGGATCCACAACAACACCTAGAGATCCATTGCACACATAACAAATGGATGTATGCATACAACGCCTGGACATAGCCCGTCATGACCGTACTGTGGACATTGTGTCTGATGCGGTACGAAACATCTTAACATCTAGCGCAGCAATGTACAAGCACGCTAGAGTGCTACCAGAATGGTTTGGCTTTATCAATGATGTCTTTGCTAACATCCCAAATACACCTGGGGGGTATACTACCAAGCCGGATGTTCTCTTAGCGGCTAACTTCAGGGTAACTCAGGGTTTCCGGTCCTACGAAGCTGGTTCTCTTTTTAGCGGCTAGATCTCCATGGTAACTGATGCTGAGCGGCTAGCCTGCTCCGGAGCAGGTTAGGTTGCAGGCTAAGAGATCAACTCAGTGAAAGCACTGCCTGCTGACCAATCAGAGCTCAGTGTGTGAGTTTAAAGCGATCAAGTCATATTACAGGAGAAAGGAAATACAGAAAATCTGCCGTCGCAGGAAAGACGGCCGGCAACAATCAGCGACTGTGTGAACGTGAACATGAATAGAATATCAGCTCCATCTTCAGAGCAATCTGACTATTATAACATTAGCGTTAAGAAAGCTTACTGAAATATCTGCCACAACATAAGTAACCGGATCAGAGTCACATTAAGTACAGTCCATATCACTTCATAATGTATCATCTCCTGATCTGAGTCAGCTGAGCCGTATCTGGCCGTGCAACACTCACAGCGTCACAGACTGGATGCAGAAGCATTATTTGAAGCAACACATTAAGTTGAGGAAACACTGGAGTCAAATGTAATGAAAGTCAGATGGTGTCTTAGACGGGCAGTGATATCATAAAGCTGTTAAAGTACGCATTCAAACACTTGTTCTGTTCCCAGCTGTGTTCACCTTGCAGGTGCAGCTCTGTGGCTTTGATCCTGGATCAAGTGTTTAAGTCATGGATGTTTAAAGTTTAACTTCTTCATTTTTGACTAGTATTATAGTTCACTTTTCATTCAGGAAATATGACGCTAGCGCTGTCAGTACGCTTCTCCATGTCTGTGATTGGTCGAATGCTCCAGATACCACCCCTCTCATGTGAACACCTAACTAGATAGGACACGGCTGGCTTGAGCGATCCACTTGATAACCCGCGTCGTAGGACCGTTTAGCGAGAGCGCGTATGTTTTGGATGAGGCCACCGGCTAACTCAAACATATCCAGGTTAGGTTGAACCTGCTTTGTAGTACAGGCCTCTGGTGTGATTTCTGTTGACACCACAGGGAGGTGCTAATATTAGAAGTAGGCTGTGCCTTTGACCTGTGCATGGGACCAGGCTTTCCAGGACAAGTATATCAAATACCAACCACTGCTCGATGTGATAACCAGCTTTGGGTACAAATGTAGATACAGCATACGTATATTCGGAAGTCTTGGCCATGTATAAAAATGCACCGTGATTGGTCTGAGAGTTGGCTGGAAATGTCAAAGAGAAAAAGCCAAATATTGCTCTGTCTCAGCTGCTATTGGCTGCTTAGCCGTGTGGAGAAGGAGGTGCTATTGTTCCCTAAGTGTTCTGTGCTGCTTAGCCCCGATATGTTTGATTCCCTGTCTTATGTAAATAATGTATGGAACCAAATAAAGTGTGTGTGTGTGTGTGTGGTGTGTGTGTGTGTGTGTGGTGTGTGTGTGTGTGGTGTGTGTGTGTGTGTTGTGGTGTGTGTGTGTGTGTGTGTGTGTGTGGGTGTGTGTGTGGTTGGGTGTGTGTGGTAGCATGAACGCCTCAGACAGCGAGGAGGACTCGTAAACGAGAGGTCGGCTCTGGTGGAGAGCCCCCCCTCCCCTCCTACAGACCCGACCCCCCATCGACCCCCCCGACAAGAGGGTAAGGGTCTATTTGGATTATTATTTTTATACCTATAATAACATTTTTATTTCGTCATTTTGATTGATATTATTTTACCAGTTTTTCTTAGAATTTCTTTATTTATTATTATTTATTTTATTATTATTTATTTTTTATTATTATTTTTCCCAAAGTATTTTAGTTAGTTAGTTATTTATTTGTATTAATTATTGCTCACTCGGGCCGGTCCGTGTACTGCATGCTAATGTTAGTCTATGAATGAATGTTTGTTGACGTTAGGATCAGCTGTGAGTTGTTGTTGTTGTTGATGTTGTTCCTGTGTGCAGCAGGGGCTCAGCAGGAGGTCTGCCTCTCCGCAGGGGGTCCAGGGGGTCTCTGAAGAGGAGGAAGAGGAGGAGCTGACCTTAAAGTACGGAGCGAAGCATGTGATCATGCTCTTCGTCCCGGTGACGCTGCATGATCGTCGTCGTGGCAACCATCAAGTCCGTCAGCTTTACACGGAGAAGACGGACCAGCAGCTGTACGCACACATCCTTATTTATATTATTACATTTATTGCATTAATTATTATATTCTCTTCAGTATTTATAGAAATGTATTCCTCCTTTTATTAGTATGAGTAATTGTTTACATATATAAACCTCTTGTCAGGATCTACACCCCTTCTCAGAGAACGTGTCCTCGGTGGGCCGGCGCCTCCTGAACTCGGTTCTGAACACGATCATCATGATCAGCGTCATCGTGGTGATGACCG